ATCCAGCACTGAAATGTTCTGTTAGTTTGCTTTTCTACGACAGTGATAAACACCATGACCAAAAGCAACCTGGGGAAGAAAACGGTTAACTTGGCTTACATATCCCAGGCCACAGTCCATCAAGGACCAAGGCAGGAACTCAAAGCAGGAATTGAGGCAGAAGCCATGGAGGAATATTTGTAGCCAATTATCTGCTGAATACATTATCTTTTCATACAAATCTGTAGTGTGAATTCTAATTGGTCTTAATAGAGCCTTGAGTCAGATATTGGGGTAAAAACTGGAAGATCAGAGAAGCAGAACAGTCAGCCACCAGTCCTTATCTTTATGAAATCCTCAGACCAAATGGGGTATCCTGTCTCTACAAGTCCTCAGACTGAATGCCTTGAGCTCCTGTCTCCTCCCAGCCATATCCCTTCACATCTCCAACTCCCTAGTGTTAGGATTAAAGGCATGCGATTCCCAAGTAGTGGGATTAAAGGTATGTGTCACCACTGCCTAGCTCATATCTGTTGTGGGGAGGACTGCTTGTTCACCCTGGCCTTTCTGAACCGAAATAATCACACAGAAACTGTATTAATTACATCATTGCTTGTTCCATTAGCTCTAACTTCTTTTTGGCTAACTCTTACATCTTAATTGAACCCATTTCTAGTAATCTGTGTATTGCCACAAACAAACAAAACAAAGAAAAACAAAAGAAGGCAGATGCAGGTGGATCCCTATGAGTTCTAGGCCAGCTTGGTCTACAGAGTGAGTTCCAGCACAGCCAGGACTGTTACACAGAGAAACCCTGTATCCAAAACAAAAACAAAAACAAAAACAAAACAAAAACAAAAACAAAAAAACAGAAAAAAGAGAACAAACAAAAAAACCCAGCATGGACCATGACCCGCCTAAAGGTCACTGTAATACCCCTCAAAAATTACTTCACCCAACAAAAAGCAGGAAGCAGTTTGGAGAAAAACTACACCCATATTCCCAAATATTGTTTATAAATGTTTGTTTGTATTTAAAGGGGATATACTATAGAGATTTGCATGAGTATGGATCTTGGTTTATTGATACAAATTTTAGGTCAATTTTGTGCTCTTGATTAAGGTATTATGGCTGTACAGTTCATTTTAAAATGTAATGTATAATTAAGAAATATAGATTAATAGACAATAATCTATAATAGTCAAGCTTGCAGTCATGTTATGTTAGTTAGATTTTTCTAGATGTACAGAGATGTTATTTCAGTAGGATAGGTATTCTTCAAACCTTTCAAAAACTACAGAATATGGTATTTTAAAAGTCTTTAAGAATTTAGGACTTATCATGACAATGAGACACATCTGCTCCTTGCAGCACCAATTACTTCAAGAGGAAGATGGGCATTGAAGAGGCTCCTTATGGAGTTGGTTAGCCATCTGGGCAAGACACTGCTCTTGCCTGGACTGCCTGATGAACTAGACACGCAGGATCCACAGAGAAATGACTGCTGAACTTGCCTAAAGGTGAGACTGCTGCCCTTCAGGGTTCCTGCTTCATGAAAGAACAAAAAGGGTCTGCGAGACATTCTGCAGGACACAGAAGAAAATGACTGACACACTGCCAATATAGACAGAACTGTCTTTGAAATTTCCTGCCCATGGAAAAGTCTGCTGGATACTATAGGCCTGTAGGCTGAAGATGCCTACAACATCTATCAACAGTACAGAAGAACTTTGGGTGACTGTCCAGGCAGTGAGATGTCTCTTATCAATTATAGAATTTTGGAAGTTGCTTACAATGCACTTCCTGTTTACTTAGGTAATATTATATCCTTCTGGAGTCTTCGATGAAGTTGAAAAATTTATAGTTATAATTATAGTTTTCCTTAGTTATGATAGAAGATAAAATAGATATAACTGTAATTCTTGCTTGATAACTGTTTTGTGTAATTTTACTATGTTAACTTAAAATCTTCCTTTTTTATTAAAATTTAAATTATTTAAATACAAAGAGGATTCCCCTTTGTATGCTATGAATACGATTGGTTAATTAATAAAGAAAACTGTCTTGGCCTGACAGGGAAAAAGAATAGAGGTAGCCAGAGAAAACTAAACTGAATTCTGGGAGAACAAAGGGTGGAGTCAGAGAGAAGCCATGTAGCCCCGCCAGAGACAGATGCTGGTTGGAATCTTGCCAGTAAGTCACAGCTACGTGGTGATACACAGATTACTAGAAATGGGTTAAATTAAGATGTAGGAGTCAGTCAATAAGAAGTTAGAGCTAATGGGCCAAGCAGTGATTTAATTAATACAGTTTCTGTGTGATTATTTTGGGGCTAAGTGGCTGGGAACCAACAAGCGGCTCTCTCCTCCCACACATATCTGTTCTCTTTAACATATGTATTTATTTAATTTCATTCACAAGTTATTGCCAAAGATTACTTACAAAGCCTCTACTTGGGTGAATCAGAACATTCGCTCTTGTCTTTGGAAAGAATCAAGAAAGTATTGGGACACGGTGCTAATGACTGCTACAAACACAAACATTCTAATTCCAAGCATTTATGACCTTATTTACTGAACCCAAACCTCTAATTTGAGCTAACATTATCATGAAATGTAACATCGCGCACGTGTGTGTGTGTGTGTGTGTGTGTGTGTGTGTGTCTATGTGTGTGTCTGTGTGTCTTGTGCAGTGCTGGGAATTGAACTCACAGCTTCACGAATGAGAAGCACTCATTCTACCACTGAGCCTCAATCTCCTTTTTCATTCATGAATTTTGAAACTAGGAAACCCGAGTTTAATCTTCTACTCTGAAGAGAAAACGATTATGGGACATGTTTAATATAAGTTGTCACATGAAAGGACTGAACTAGTCAAAACTTTGCAGTTGTAGGTTGAGTTCTAAAATGTATAACGTACATAAAGGGCTTAAGACACAGAGTTTATGAAACTACCAGAAAGTTAACACATGTCTCCATCCCCAAAGTCATGAAATACTGCGTCACTACCCACAGGTCCTCCTGGGCTTCCTCACAATCAATCACCAGAAATAACCAACACCCTTACTTCTAACACCCCATAGCAGTGGTTCCAACCTTCCTAATGCTGGTACCCCTTTTTTAAATACACTTCCTCATGCTGTGGTGACCCCCCCAACCATAAGATGATTTTCCTTGCTACTTCATAACTGTAATCTTGCTGTTATGAATCTTAACATAAATATCTGTGTTTTCTGATGGTCTTAGGTGACTCCCGGAAGGTTCATGACCACCAGGTTGAGAACACTGCCTTGCAGTGATTTGCCTGTTCCCATTCCAACAAGTGAAATCACACAGTAAAGGTGCCTGTGTGTTTGGTTGTTGTTTCTTCTCTTTTATCAGCTTTTTTTTGGGGGGAGTGGTACTGAATATTGAATCTGACACATGATCAGTAGGCATTCAGACACTGAGCTATATTCCCCCTCAACTTTTCATTATAAGACAGGGCTTTGAATGCACTACAGCCCAGGCAGATACTGAACTAGCCATTTTCTTGCCTCAAGTTCCCCAGTCGCTGGGATCACAGACAGATCTGTTCTACCAGGCCTGCAAATCTAGCAGCTTTCACTTTGCATTGTGTTTATGGGTTCAGCACATATGTATAGTCTGTAACTGCAGCTGGTTGGTTTCCTTTCCTGTGGTATTCTATGACGGTATTAGGATATAGTCACTGTAGGTCCATATTTCTATATGGTGTGGCAGCCAGGCTCTGAAGCCATAGGGCCCACCTGAGGTGGTCACATAGCCCTGCAGACAGGCTGTCATTGCCCTAACAAAGGGTCGGGATGTTGTTGCTCCTTTCTTTGTAATTTGGAGGATGCCTAATAGAGATGCTGATTCAAGCCTACGTGACAGCTAGCATACACAGCAGACAGGTAGATGCGGACGTGACAAAACGCCATTCACCTGGTTACCTAGGAGACAGAATGTTAGTGTATTTCCCGCTCAGTTCATGTGTTGGTATAAAAGCTGTTTGGAGAATAAACGAGAGAAATTCTTCAGGATGTGAACTCAGGACTTCATGAGGGACCACTAAGAATCTCCCTCCCAATTAAGCCATATGAGTTGTGTCTTTATTTCCGTCTCCTCCACGCCAGTCAAGAGAGAGAGTTTATGTTGGGGTCTGGTCTAGAGAAATAATTTATGGTCCGGGCTAGAACCGAGCCCCGATAAGTCACCCATTTTGCTCTCACTTAAAAAAAAAATCGTTTCCTATTTTAGTTTTTATTGTATGTGGATGAGGGCTTTGCCTACTCGCGTGCACTTTAAGCCTGCTCAGTTTCAGAAGGGCAATCAGAAGGGGGCGCCAAGTACTGGAGTAGGTTGTAATTCCCCGATGTGAATGAAGGAACCCAAAAGCAGATCCCCTTCCAGAGCAACTAGTGCTCTTAACCAGTGAGCCATCTCCCCAGCCCCGGGAGTACCTTTACAGTCATCTGGCGTCCATGTTTATGTACTCTTTGAAACTGTTAGAGACCAGTCCTATTGAACACATGGACGCCACCATATTTCCAGGAGGAGAATGTGCATGGGACAGTTCTCATCTTCTCCAACATCTAAACATGGGTGAAGTGTTTCAAAAGAAAAAAAAAAATCATGTCTGAATTGGGGAGCGCAGTGAATGCAAAACCACAATGGACAAAAAAATAAAGTAAATACTGATCTTTTAAATATTGAAGATATGTAAAGGATATTTTGGATATAGAGTGGAAACCACTGTTAAAATAGATATCACTTGCTTTTCGTCACCCTATTTAACATACCTACCAGAAATTTTAAAGTCCTGTGACTAACACTACAGCTCTTTGACTAACATTGTTTTACATCATACACCAGTCTTGGAAAAGTCACAAGAACGATGTACCTGGCAAGTGACCTCATCCTGCAGGGTGAGGCTGGTTGGCCTTGTGCACCTCACTACCTCTGAAATTAAAACGCCACCGGCCACCGCCCAGCCCGTGGTCACCCTCGAGGCTGACTCACCCATGTCCAGGGCCTGCTGGCACCTGAGCAGCGCGGCCTCGGGCTGCTGCTGGCGTTGAAGCCCCCGTGCCTGGCACGCTAGCCTGCGCAGCCGACATTCCGCGGGGAAGCATCTCTCCAGCAGCCCGCTCAGCATCACGTTCACGCGCCGGGCCTGCAGCCGCCCGGGGACCAGCTCCACGCAGCGCTTGCACACCGTGAGCCCGCTGGCCAGCGTCACCGGCTTGAAGAGCAGCCGCCCGCAGCGGAGAAAGCCCAGCAGACAGGCGCGCGCCACCCACCCCGACCTC